TTAATCATTTTTTTATTAATTTAATTTTGTGTTTTAATTGGAATAAACTTGCAAACAAAAACTATTATTTATTTTCGGTTCCGGTTGCGGTTTCGGCTCTGGTTAGGGTTTGTTTTCGGTTCCGGTTAGGAATATTTGAAATCTATTTTTGGTTCGGTTCCGGTTGCGGCAAAATTTCAGTGCCGGTCGATCACTAGTTACCATGTTACTGTTCTCCATTGTTTTTCAATTGTTATTTGAAACAACGGATATCTTAGCTTTTAAAGAATAGGTTAAACGTCCATTTATTAATACGTCCTTGGTGAAACACGCTTCAAATACCTATAAAATCGAAAATCATTTTTTTTTCAATTTGGTTTAGTGTTATTTCTTGCTGCTCATTTTGTCTTTATCGCCATCATTAATAAGACAAACACTAAAGAACTTATTTTTTTTAAACATTAATTGACTGAATATCTAAAAACAAAGATTAATAATAACATGAAAATTTCAAATCTTTTTTTATTTTATACAACTTTATCAATAACAACTTTAATATTATACATATCAATAACTACTTTAACATAAATTAAGATCCCACGATAATTCGTTAAAATTTTGATTGCGGAGTTTACTGAAAGGCTTCGGTGCCAAATTTGAAAAATAAATTCGAACTAAACTTTTTGCAATTGCACAAATTAATTTAACATTCAATTAAACTAGCAGTAAGCAACCTGTAAAACGGGTTTTAATTCATTGCTTATTAATTAAATCAATGTTTTCTAAAAGCTTTCAGATTTCCGATTGCACTAAAATATAAAACAAAAATTGCATCACTAAGTGTATGCGAAGCTTGGAGCTTAAAAATTGGATAACAGAAAAGTAAAAAACCTAAACCAAACATTTTTTTATTAAAACTACTTTATTTAAACAAATTAAACAAAGCTTCAAAACTTCCTACATAAGTTGATGGCAAATTCAACAAAGCAGTTTAGGAAATATTGAGTTGTAAAATCCAGCTGTAAAAGAAGTTACCTCGATAAAATTTGAAAACCTTTTTTTTAATAACAATCGATATCTTAACCTTACAATTAAGACAGAGTTCGTACTCAATTTTCCATATGAAATTCCATGACTTCTTTTTAAAATCTGCCACTTTTCAAACAAACAAAACGAAAAATATTAAACATAGATCATCCAGGTCATATTTTAAAAAACCTGAAAATTGTTTTCTCAAATATACAAAAAAAATCCGGAATAAATCAGCTAAATTTTTTATCTAAGTTGTATGTCATTTTTTTTGAAAATTTCCTTAAATTGCATGAGTGATGCCTAAAAAAACCCTAAAAATCAAATATATTACACAAATATGTACTTAAACTTGTATGTATGGAAAACCTTTTGGATATCCGGAAAGACTTAGTCTTGATAAATATCCGTAATTCCTGTAATATTCAGAAAAAGATAATCTCTGATAAAAACCTTTCCCTCGCAAAGCATTTAATTAAACCGAATGTGATTTAAAATTCAGTGAAAGTCTCAACGCAAAAGAGCATTATTTCTTTATGTCATATACGACAGAGATACTTTGTTATTATAGTGTTTGCATAAACTCGTTGAAGAATAGGAAGTTAACTAAAAATGTTTTTTATAACATATTTATTAACAATTTAACAAAAAATGAGACAAATTTGTTTCTCTTCTTATCGCATACATACGTTATCCGACAAATCAAAAAAAATTAAGTTAAATTATGAAATTATTATATAAACGGAAGTACAGGAAAAAAAACTAAAACATAATAAAATGGAAAGGAATTAACTGTTTTTGGTTATCTTATCAGTTTGGTGACATGTATTTTAAAGAGAAAAGACTAAAAGATAAGAAATCAAATCGAAATATAAAAAAATTAATTAATAAAAAGTATAGCAAAATCTTTTTTCTTGACTTATTAGTGAATAATTAGAAGCAATGAGTTCCAGTAATGAAACTAACTAATAATCATTTTTAACGATAGACACCAACGGGAAGGTAAGCCAAGCTGTCTATCTACACAAAACAGCACAACTATAACGTAACAACAAAAAGGGATCTTCCATAAATTACACAACGTTAATTATTTTTTTAAATATACGTGGGAAATCATTTGTCAATTTGTGAGGTAATTTTCATTGAATATGAATCTTTTAGTTTTGGGTTTAAATAAAAATTCTAGAATGGAACCCCCTTCCTTCCCTTTATTTACTAAATTTAACGTTTGGTAATTTTAAGGAGGTGTATACGGACACACAATAATAGCACAAACACAGCATTAGATATTTGACTTTTTCTATGATGACTATTTAAATTTGAAATTAACATACTTTTAACATAAGAGCATATTTGCAACAAAAAAAAATGGCTGTAAATTTATAAAAACTATAAAATTGTTAAGTCAATGTTATAAGCCATGATACAACTGGCTTTCCAGTAACAAAATCCAGCTTTCCAGTAACAAAATCCAGTTTCCCAGTAACAAAAACTGGTTTTTCCCAGTGTCAAAGACTGGTTTTTCCCAGTAACTGGCTTGCCAGTAATAAAAACTGGCTTTCCGGCAACAAAAACTGGCTTGCCAGTAACAAAAACTGTTTTTTTCCAGTAACTGACTTCCCAGTTACAAAAACTGGTTTTCCGGCAACAAAAACTGATTTATAAAAATGTATTGTCAAAAATCACATACACAAACTCAGTTTAACTGATTTGGTGTTAAAATGTATTTAAAATTGCAAATGGCATTACAAATTTTGGATTTTATAGTCCTAGATAATTTGATAACAACTGTGATTTTATATCTATTTGTATTTTATGATCGTTATGTGTTTGCAGCAACACATAAGTTAAATCTTTAACTTTATAATTAAAAAAAACATAAAAAAAAAACAAACTATTCTGTTAATTGTTGAGATGCATGTAAATCAGTTGATGAGTATATTAAGGAGTTTTTATACAAAGATTGATTAAATGCAATTGTTTATAAGGAAATGTTTTATTTAATGAATATATTAATCAAAACATGAATACCTTTTAAATAAAAGCATACCTTCTAAATTATTATACATCATAAAATATTCTCATATAAGCAATTTATAAAAAAAAGTACAATGTATAAGAAACAGCAATAGTGATGATTCAATAAATTCCAAACCCCTGTAATCTAAAAATGCGTCATAAGACAGATCTGAAATAAAAAACACAAATAAAAATATCATTGTATAACATTTTTCACCTGCCATACCTTGAATAGGATGTTTATCAACTTTAAAAAACAATTTATTAAATGCCCTTGTTCTTGAACATGCTACATATAATTGACCATGAGAGAAACATGTTTTTTTTAAAATAAACACCAACTCTATCAAACGTTTGACCTTGACTTTTATTTATTGTCATAGAATATGCCAATCGAACCGGAAACTGGCGAAGTTTGAGAACAAAAGGTAAAATACAGGGTGTATACTTTATTTCTGACCCCCTATATCATGGTTTAAGAATACTGTATTTCAACACATACCATTTTATTACTGTCATATCAATTTAATTAGACAAAGAATATATACTAATAGTCAGTAATCAGTATTTTGTCCATTTCTTTCTATGCATTGGGTAATTCTCCTTGGCAGGCTTTCTACTAGGCGAAAACACTCTTCTTGCGTAATGGCAGCCCACTCCTGTTCAACACGTCTGATCAACTGTTCACGATTACGAGGTCGAGGATTGTGTAAAACACTGTCCTGGAGTCTTGACCAAATATGTTCGATGACATTTAAGTCGGGCGAGTTGCCAGGTTAGTCGGTCCACACTGCTGGAAAGTCTTTGTTGATCACATTTATTGTTGCTCTTGCCGTGTGGCAAGTTGTTCCATCTTGCATCAGAATAACTTTATTTCTCACAGGAAAGATGGTCCTATCATCAGCTGCACGTTTGTACACAGGTAGAATAATATCACGGTAATATTGCCCATCAACAGTTTTATTTTGCTCAACAACAACCAGATCAGTAACATGTGGGGGGGTCAGAAATTAAGTATACACCCTGTAGAATCCGACGGAACCAACTGAATTCTAGGAACAAATACCCGTTTACCTTCAGAAACATCTGTCAAAACCTCTGCATCAATATAATTATTTTGGAGAGCACAAACTTTCATTCGGGTGACACTACATAGCCCAGCTTTAAGATCCAAATTTCTAAGTAGCATAATTACACAACCAATTTTCAATTTTCAAACAATGAGTTGGCATACCTGAAGGAGTTAAGCTGTTCAAAAACTTAACAGGGAAATTATTTATTTCATTAAGATCATCATTCTCTATTTGATCAGCACTTAAATAAGTTTTGATCTTTCCATGTAGACCTTCAAGCACTCCTTCATTGATTGACAATCAACCCTCATTAGTGGGTGTTAAAATGACACGTTTAGCATAATCATCTTGTTGAGCATCTCCAAATATTTTTTTAACAATTGATTTGCTTTCTCTAATAATGCACTGTTGCGGTATTTTAATACATCCTTTAAAAGGATCTTCCTTCTTGACAGGTATTGTTCCACTACCAAGTTTTAACAGCCATTCGGAAAATTCTCCTTCTCCATCACGTACTCTCATATTTTCAGTTAATGTAAACTTCTGCACCCATTGCCACTGTAAAGAACATTTTATAAATGATTCTACAACTTCAGCTGGTCGTCCTCTTTCACAGCAGGCAATATTTGCCTAAAGTCACAACCAAAAAGAATGACTTTTCCACCAAATGGAAAGTTGTTTGTTGCAAACATCTTATAACAATTGATCGATAGCATTCAAAGCGTGTTTGGGAATCATGGATGTCTCGTCAAGCATAAACAAACTAACTTGCCTTAAAAATTGTCCCTGAATAGAGTTAGGAGTCACATTACATGTGTAGTTATCCAGTATTGAGACAGGAAGTTTAAATAAACGGTGCAGCGTAGATTCATTTGTAAGAAGAGTTGCTGCTATGCCAGTTCATGCAGCTGTAGCAGGTTTAACACCCTTACTGCTCGTTTCAGCAATCAAATAAATATATGTAAAAGTTTTGCCACTACCGGCTGGTCCATCCATAAAAAACAATCTGGAATGTTGATTTTCTACACTTAGTTGCTTGTTCAATGCAGTAAGGACAGCATTGCTTACATATAATTGATTGACATTGAGAAGCGGTCTCATTATATTAGCTTCGTTAATTGATTGCTGAACATTATTATTTAAATTTTCTAGATTAAAATCTATGAATTCATCAATAACAGGCAAATTATAATCAGATAGCATTTTACCATTTTGAATAATAATCTTTTCGATTTGATGAAGAGTAGTTTGTTCAGCTAATATAAATGGAACTTGGCGATGAATGAAGCCCTCCATCATAATAGCTTTGTATGTATTCCAAAGATGCAAAGGGTTGTCAGGTTCACAAAGGGTTGAAATAATTGAAAACAGCTGTCTAATTTGCTTAGACATTTGCGTTAAAAATGCCTCAGAAAGAGTATTCTGTCATTCAGTATCATCTTGCAACAAACCTTTTAAAACATGCTTCACGAAAGGTTTCAAGAACTATTCCATTAACAGTACGCAAATCTTTCCAAGATGTTGCTCCTGTTGCCTGCAAAAGTAACAATCTAAGAAAAAATAGTTTTCCTGTTGGACTAACTTTATAAATTTTTACTATCACCTTATTTCCACCTCTTTGTCTAAACTTTCATTTACAATGTTTATCATCAAATACAAAGTGATATGGAATGTTTACATATGAATAGCGATGCGCTTCTTTATTTTCAGTATTCAATTTAAACCAGGCCGTAAGGTGTGTATCACGTTGAGCAGCACGATCTAACGCCACTTGTTCTTCTCCTTCTCAAAAATACACAATCTGAATCTCAGGAAGATGAACCTTAAGACGGATAATAGTGTGTGACATATGACTTATGGGATACTCAAATATTCGCCACAGTGCTTCAGGCGCACTAACACAACGATAATCTAAAAAAGTGTTTACTTCATCGTGACTAACTTGTTCATTTATCAAAACATTCGCACAATCATGCCCTTTGTATATGTGTTTGTGCAAATATTTAACAGTCTTTACAGACATGCAAGCTTCAACATTAATGTGGGCTTTATATTTTTTAGATAACCAAGGATTGTAAGGTACCACCCAACGATTATCTATATTGTTGTCTTTAATATTGATAACCCATCTTCACGACGTCTATATTGTGGATAACTATAGTGAACGGCTACTGTGTTGACATTAAATTCTTTAAGATAACTTTTGCTGCACATCCCATCTTTCATGCAGGGAGAATTTGGATTCAGTATCCCACATGGGCTGTGAGTTATGCAAGTTTTAATAATATCATAAAGTTCACGATTAACAATTGGATCTGGAATTTCTGCACATATTAAATTATTGATATCCTGTGATGTTTCAAGTTTATCATCATTAGCTAAATGAAGTAAAATGCGGGCATGCGGCAAACCACGTTTTTGCAACTCAATAACCTGAACACGCGTTACAACTTTGCCTAATACACCATGTTTGAATAATTTAAATAACCTCCTTAAATCATTGAGGAGGTTATTTAACTTGAGTTCTAATACTAGAGTGACCAAATCAGGTCTATCATTCGCAGTCTGATCCGGATATAAATTTCCTGTTATTTCACGCCATTTTGGGTTGCAAGTAAAAGTAATAAAAAGATCTGGTTTATCATACTTTTTAATAATTGCTATAGCATCTTCAAAGTTTTTTTTTTAAGCTCTAGGACTTCCTACATAAGATGATGGCAATTATTATAAAATAAAAAAAATATAATTATTATTAATAAATTTATTCAATTATTAATAAATGAATAAATTTATTTACAAACACCAGTATGGTTTTCGCAGCTAACACTTAACAACTCATTCATTAATAGAAATTACAGAGAAAATTAGACAAGCCATCGATAATAAACACTTTGCGTGCGGAGTATTTATTGACATAAGAAAAGCATTTGATGCAGTTTAGCACACAATCCTCCTAGAAAAACTGAAACACAACAAAATAAGAGGTATTCCTTTTCTCTGGTTTTCTTCTTGTCTTTGTAATAGAACACAATTTGTTTCAATTAATGGTATCAATTCAGGTTTAGCTAAATGCTAATATTAAGAGAAAAAATATTAAGCTATATAAAATATTAAAAACATATAAGCTTTTAATAGTGTTCCTCAAGGCTCGGCTTTAGGTTCATTACTTTTTCTTTTTTTTATCAATAATTTAAAAGTTTCTCTTAAATTTTATACTGCTTATCACTTTGCGGATGACACCAACTTACTCCTAATTAACAAATCTCTTTAAAAACTTAACAAAAATTTGAATCACGATTTACCTAATGTTGTTCAATGGCTCTGTTCCAATAAATTATCTCTAACTCTAAAAAAAACGGTAACTATTATATTTAAATCTGTTCGAACAAAAATAAATAAGCAATTAAATTTCAGATTAAGTGGGCAAAAAGTAAATCCAGTTAACTCTATTAAATATCTTGGAATCAAAATAGACTCTAATTTATCTTTTGCATCGCATCTTCAAGATATAGCATTGAAATCAAACAGATCGAATGGTATTTTAGCTAAAATTCGTCATTATGTTAATCATGAAACTCTGCTTAATATATATCATGTTATTTTTCACTCACATCTCAGATATGCTATTTTTACATACTCTATTTTTTATCCAAAGTCCTTAAATTGTGCGACTTTATTCAGCTATCAAATTGCCTATTTGTTTGGAACCAAAATCATAATAACCTACCTCTTACTTTATATTTACTATATTTATCAATTTTTTTAGTTATAGGGAAAATTATGAATATATTCTACGATCTGTTTTCAACTTTAAATTATCTGTACCTAAATACCGAACTGTTCATTACGGCTACGAATCCTTACAACATAAAAGCATAAAAAGCTCCCTTCCCAAATAAAATCTTTTAAACCATTCTTAAAATTTAAAACTGCTCTCTTTAACCATTTTTTAGAAAATACTGTTTATAAATCTTATATCTTTTACAACTTATTATTTATAACCCTAACGCGGAGCTTCTATTCATCTATTATGCACAAAATTTGGTCATAAATAAAGATATCAAGTTCATTTTTTTTCTTTTTGATTAATTTTCTTCCTATTATGCAGTGGTGCTAATAACTCCATTTCTAAGACTTGGTTCCTTTTACAGTGGGGCGCCTCATTTTTAGATTTTAGATTTTATTTATTTGCAATAAATTGTTGTTGTTTTGTAAGTGAATATTTTTTCTCTTAATAAATAAAAAATTATTTTGTTTGACTTGTGTTTTGTCATGTTTTGAAAAATGGTTGATTTTGAGCAAAAAAAAATTAAAATTTTGTTACTTACTTTTTTACTTTCACTTTCATTGATAAAATGATAACTTCCAAATTTTTTCTTTTAAATTCGGTTTTCAGTTAAATTCGGTTTAAATGTCCAAGTTTGTCTCTAAAATAAATTCAGGGTAAACATATTGGCATAAATTCGTCAATTAAATTTGGTGTACGCATATTTTTCTGAGTTTGACTTTCAGTTAAATTCGTGTATTGAAAAGGTAAATTCTGTTAATTTCCCACTTTGCCGGTCCTTAACATTGAAGTTTTTAATTAAATTCATGTGTTTTTCACACGAATTTAATTAAAAACTTCAATGTATATTTCAGCAATCTTATTTTGAACTTTTTATTGCATTATGTATTTTTCAACACTTAATATCTTCCAATATATTTTAATTAGTACTTATTATAAGTTATATATACTTTTAATCTCTATTTTTTAAGTCTAGTTTGTATATCATATTTGAACTAAAATAAAAGAACTTTCTTATCATTTTAAAAAGTTTCTTTGTAAATTAAAAAATAATAATTGAAATGATGAAACCTTTGAATTAATTAGAGCAAATCAGTTTTTAACATAGATATGAGAAAAACTTTACAATTAAAAAATTTTACTATGATATAAACAAAATGGTGTCACCAATAAATAGCAATTTCGAATACAATATATGTTTGCTTATAACTTTCCACAATTATTTTTGTTTTTCTTTGTTATGAAATGTTTCCATTACTTCACAGTGCTTATCAGTGTAATCTTTGCATAGAATGCTTGCTTTAAAAGTTCAAAACTTTGCTAACTGGACGTTTTGTAACCTATTTTGAAGGTTTTGAAAGAGTAGAGCGCTAATTAATCATTTAGCTACTAAGTGTATTATATTTTGTATTTTTTATTGTGTTTTTTTAATATTGCAGGTTTTCAATTTTTCATTTTTTTATTTTTGTTTTAGATGCCCCAAGAAGATCTAAAAATCTTGTTATAGAGAACCGCAGAAGAGCCTTTAAACTAGGAAGTTTACGCCTCTTTGCTTGTCAATGGCGCAAAAAACACCTAGAGAATCGCTTCTAACCCTGGATACTTGCTTATATAGCAAACGCTCTAACCACTGCGCCATAGTCGCTCGCAATGAAGCTTTTCGCAAATGCATATATATAATTTACAGAATTATAGTATTTTCCATCACAGAACAATTATAGTGTTTTACATCTTAGAGAAGTTATAGTATTTTACATCACAAAACAGTTATAGTATTAGTTTTTTACTAAAGGAACAGTTTCTCCCTTCAGGCCCAGAGGCTTCTGATCATTCCCTTCTCAGGTTTAGAGACTATGGACCCCCTTAGATCCAGAGGCAAAGGACCATCCCCCTTTTAGTCTAAAGACCACGGACTATTCTCTCTTAGGTCCAAAGACCGTGGACCATCCCAGCTTTCGGAATTAACTTAAAAGAGATACAAGGTGCTGCAATAGTAGCGGCTTGTTTAGCGGCGAATATATTGATTGCTTTTTCTGACGCTAAGCGCGTACAACAGATGTTGAAACTTTTTCGCTCGCTTGTTCAGGTTGAGCTATAGCTTTTTTAACAACCTAAAGCAAATGCATTACCCAAAGAGAATTTCCTCTAGCAGATATTTCGATAGTAAAAGTGTTAAATTTCTATTCGTGATATTATTAAGCAAGGCGTCCAGATATATATATATATTTTTTTTTTTTTACTTATTTAAGCGTTTGTTAAAAAATTACAAAAAAGAAGTTACAATTATAAAAAATCCTGGCCGGAGCAAGAAAAAGACAAACTTGTCTTAACACTAAGCCCCATTACATTGGTGTTTTCAAACGTTTTTAAAACTTTTTTTTATTAATATTTTATAGTTAATTAATTGTTTAATTTACAAGAATAGCCATCCCAATTATCATAAACTAACAGCTTGAGAAAAAACAATAGCTGCTCCATTATAACCTGTAAAATGAAAAGTATGCTGGTCAATTTCCTGGAAAGGCTGTAAAGAAAGCCAGTTTAAAGTCAGATGTTCATAATTTTTATGACCCCGACAGATAAAGTAGACTAAGTATCTGGTACT